TTTATCACAAAATAAAATATATTTTAATTTAATTTAATATACAATAATTGCAAAATTAATGCTAAATAGTTATCTAATAATTTATAAAATATTTAAAAACATATTTTCTAAATATTTATATTATTTTTTGCATATTATCTATTTTTTAAAAATATTATATTATATATGAGTATATATATGAAAAATTTTAAATATACTTATATATTTTATAAATATAAAAATTTATCACAAAAATAATTTATTTAAATGTCTGTCTATATTTATTTTAAATGTATAATTTTTATAATAAATTAATATCTTATTTATTAAAATAATTTATCACAACTATTTTTTTTAATATTATTTATTTATAATAATACAATTTTATATGTGATTATTTATTAGTATATAATTTATCACAAAAAAATATTAATTATTTTTAATATTTTATTTTATTTAAATAATTTTTATAATTTTTTGTTTATAATCTAAAATAAAAAGATATTTTTTTATATTTGCTTTACTTTGTTTTTTCTATTAATTATAAGTATTTTATTTACAAATAAAAAAATGAAATATAATAAAATTAATTAAATGGAAAATATAAATTATAAAAGTTTTTAGAAATATATATTTTATAATATATTTATGTATTTAATAAACAAATATTTATTTATTTATATTGTCATAATTGTTCTGTTTTTTTATTTAAAATATTTTAACTTGAAATTATATTATATAAAAATATTAAATTTAAATATTTATATTTTTTAAGTTAAAAATAAAATTAATAATAAAAAATATAAAATTAGCAATAATATAATAGAAGGAAAAAAAATTATTAATGTTATTTTTTTAAAATAAGATTCATAATTATATATTAATATCAGAATTATATTAAATCAGGAAATTAATCATAATTTTAGATGATAATATACTATTTATTTATAATTTAAAATTTAAATTTCAATGTATAAAAATAATCATTTATTAAATTATATATATGATAAATTATAAAATAAAATTAAAATTTAAGATTTCAAAAAAATGTTTTTATGAAAAATTATATATTTAAAATAAATAAAGTATAAAAATTAATTTGTGATAAAATTTATACTCATATATAATATAATATTTTTAAAAAATAGATAATATGCAAAAAATAATATAAATATTTAGAAAATATGTTTTTAAATATTTTATAAATTATTAGATAACTATTTAGCATTAATTTTGCAATTATTGTATATTAAATTAAATTAAAATATATTTTATTTTTGTGATAAATTTATTTACGTATAAATAAATATTTGATATTTTAGATATAAATAAATACTATTAATTATTTTTATATATCATTATTTTAATTAAAAAAAAATATGAAAAGTTAAAAAAGTTTATAAATCGTTATTTTATTAATAATCTTTCTTTCATAATTGATATTAGGAGTGTATAATCATATATGTAATCATGATACTGAATTTAATTTCTCACAATTAAATGACCAAATACAATAAACACGAAGAATATTAAAAGAAGAAAATTCTAAAAAATTAGAAAAGAAAAATTTGTAGAATAATAATAGTTCTTTGAAGCCGTAACCTATAAGAATTACTTTGGATTTTTTAAAAAATGACTCAACTTTTAGTTAAATAAATTAAAAGTAAACCGAATATTTATAAAATCTAATGTAAAATATTTAAGTATATTTGTAAAACTTATTAAAAGTTATTCCTGCTTAAGGACCTAATATATTCTAAGGTAATGATTGTAGTGATATAGTTGTTGATAAAAAATACAGAACTGATGGTGAAAATAATTCTGATATACATATTTGGGTTGCTTAAAGTTCAAAAATATAAGGTTTAGCTAATGCTATTTATTGCTAGTTAGATGATACTTTGAAAAGAGTTAATTATGGCAGAATTAAGGTGAATACGAGTTTTCTAGATAAATAATAATCTAATTTTGGATTTAAATAAGATTTTAATAATATCTTGCATGAATGCTTTCATATTTTAGGATTTTCAAGTGGCTTATATTAATTTTGGATAAATCCTTAAACCGGAGATTATTATGATAATGAAATAGATAATTTTATAAGAAAAGTATCTATAATGGGTAAAGAAACTTTTGTTATGTCTACACCTTATGTACTTGCTACTGCTAAAAAATATTATACATGTCCTACTTTAGAAGGAATCTAATTAGAGAGCAATGGAGATGTTAATTTTATTGGTTCTCATTGGAAAGAATTAATCCTCTTTAATGAATTGATGGCTGCATAGTCTTCTGGAAAAGACTCTCAATTGTCTGTTTTTACTATTGCTTTATTGAGAGATACTGGTTATTATGCCGAAGTAAATGAAAGTATGGCTGATGATTTTTAATGGGGAAGAAATAGAGGATGTGATTTTGTTCTTAAAGCTTGTTAATCTGATACTTAATATCCAGAATTTACTTAAAAGAATTATTCTCCTGATTAATGCTCTTCGAAAAATAATGGTTATGGAAAAGTTAAATAAATTGATTTATAGGATAATTGTAATACAGTATAAAATTCAGTTTATTGTGAAAATTCAGATATGAATAAATATTACAATGGTTATTATTTTGAATATATTGGTGTTAATTCTAAATGTTTAAAATCTTCTACTGTTTCATTAAAAAATAATTTTAAAAATTCTAATGCTCGTTGTCATTTAGTCTAATGTTCTCCCGATTATACTTAAATTATTATAATTATTACTAATTTATAATATAAATTATTACTCTGTACAAAATAAGATTAAGGAAAAGAAATTGAAATCGTGGAAGGATAACCAGAACTTGGTTACGTTACTTGTCCTGATAATTATAGAGAATTTTGTAATTATACACCTGAATGTCCTAATTATTGCTCTCGAAAAGGTATTTGCATACTTGGATAATGTCGATGCTAATCAGGGTGGTCAGGAGCTGATTGTAATATTAGTTTAAAAGATTGCCCTTATTATACTTTAGAAGAAGATCCAAAATAATGTGTTTAATATTGTCCTCCAGATAAATTTCAAAATCCTGATAAAGTATGTAGAGATTAGTGTCCTAAAGGTTTTTACTATGATTTAGATAATATATGTGTAGAATGTAATTATTAGTGTTTATCATGTTTTGGCCCTTTAAAGAATTAATGTCTAGAATGCGGTTTTTGTCATATTTAGAAGAAGGAAATTGTGTATAATAATGTAGTAATGACTTTTAATTAGAATAAGGAATATGCATAAAATCAGTTAGTTAAGGATGTGATTAAGAATAATGTGAGAGATGTGAATCTGATGCTCATGATTAATGCACTAAATGTAAAGACTAGTACTTCCTTAACTTAAACACTAGTAAATGTGTTGTTGCTAGTGATTGTCCTTAAGGAACATTTGCTAATGAGGAAAATAACACATGTTAAATATGTGAACTTACAGGATGTATATAATGTTAATCTTAAACTGTATGTTAAGTGTGTGATGAATAATTAGGATTTTTTAAAAAAGGTGATTAATGTGCTAAATGTCCTTAAGGATGTTTAAAATGCTCAAGTGATCTATAGTCTTGTACTGTTTGTTATAGTGGATTATTTTTATAAGAAGGATAATGTGTTATAGATTGTCCTTCAAATAAATATAAGGATTTAGAAAAAAGAGAATGTTTACCGATTATTTAATGTAAAAAGGGCTTTTTTTATTTTTAAAACAAATGCTTATAAAATTGTCCTGAATTAACATTTAAAATAAATTATTAATGTGTAGAATGTCCATAAGGTTGTCTTAATTGTTGGAGTTTATATAAATGTGCTTTATGTGATACATAGAATGATTGGGTATAGTAATATAATTTAGGCTTTAATTGCATATAAAAAGAAAAAAAATTAAAAAATATTTGCAATGTAACAAACTGTTTAACGTGTGATCCTTAAGATAGTAGTATTTGTATATAATGCATGGACGAGTACTTTAAGTGTAATAATAAATGTTATAAATATTGTCCTGATAATTATTACCTTGATAATGAAAAGAAATCCTGTTTTAAATGTAGTCATGGATGTTTGCATTGCGCTAATATTTAAGAATGTCATAAATGTGATAGTAAAAATGGATATTATCTTTAAAATCAATAATGTAATTAACATTAAAATAGTAAAAAAGATAATGAAGAAAAAACTAAAGATATTGAAGATAATGAATTGTATTATAAGTTTAATGGAAATGATAAAAAATTTATGTCTACTAACAATGAAGATAGTACCGCTACAAACAATGGGGAAAGTACTACTAATAAAAATGGAGAAGATACTAATACAAGCAATGAAGATAGTACCGCTACAAACAATGGGGAAAATACTACTAATAAAAATGGAGAAGATACTAATACAAGCAATGGAGATAGTACCGCTACAAACAATGGGGAAAGTACTACTAATAAAAATGGAGAAGATACTAATACAAGCAATGAAGATAGTACCGCTACAAACAATGGGGAAAGTACTACTAATAAAAATGGAGAAGATACTAATACAAGCAATGGAGATAGTACCGCTACAAACAATGGGGAAAGTACTACTAATAAAAATGGAGAAGATACTAATGCAAGCAATGGAGATAGTAAAAATAAAAACAATGGATGATTTAAATTTATATATATTAATAATTTTATATTTATATATTTTTATTTTAAATAATTATTAAAATATTTATAAGTATATATATTTTTTTAATATAATTTAAATAAAACAATTTTTTTTTATTTTTAATTAAATATATTTTTTTTTTATTATTATTTTAATAATTATAAAATTCAGAAAAAATATATATAGATATATATATATATATATATTTATATATATATATATACATATTTATATATCATTCTTTTTTTTAAAATTTTAAATTTTACATTTTAACTATATATTATTTTTTATTAAAGATAACTAATAAATCAATATTTTGATTAAAAATAAAAAATATTAAATATAATATATTAATCATATTATTATATAAGCAATAATTAAAAATAAAACTGTTTTGCAATAAATGCAACTCCCTAAATTATTTTTAGTACTATTTTCATTATTTGTAGTTATACCCTCAATATTTGTAATATTTTTTTCTTCATTTATAGAACTATTTATATTATTTGTACTTTGATTATCTGTATCATTATTCTCTTCCTATTTATTGCATTTTTCATCTTTATAATAATATTTATTTTTTAAATCACATTAATAACATTCTTAAGAAGAAGAACAATATAAACATCCATCACCGCAATAAACACAAATTTATTAATTATAATCTTGATAATAATTTCTAGGACATTATGTTAAACATTAATTTTAATATAAAAAGTTTCCCTCGTTACATGATAAGCATTCATTTTTATTATTAGGAGAGCATGTCTTACAGTTTGATAGACATTATTTTGGATCATAGGGTAATACTTATTTTTAACAAGTAAAGCCTAAATTATATTAAAATATCCAACCATTTTAAGTATCACATTAAACACATTTATATTTACTCCAACAACTAAGACAACCTTAAGGACATCTATGACATTATTTTTTGTCTGTTAAAGTAAACGTTTTTGGAGGACAATTTTATAAACAATTATTTTACCAATAATAAGTGCCTCTTTTACATATAGCAATTGGTACACATTCTCTTTTTTTTTATCCGTATATAAATAAAAAGGACAATTATAAAGACATTATCCTTCTAATAAGAATAATCCATTATAACAAACAGTACAAGACTATAGATCACTTGAGCATTTTAAACATCCTTAAGGACATTTAGCGCATTAATCACCTTTTTTTAAAAATTCTAATTATTCATCACACACTTAACATACAGTTTAAGATTAACATTATATACATCCTGTAATTTCACATATTTAACATGTGTTATTTTCTTTATTGGCGAATGTTTCTTAAGGACAATCACTAGCAGCAACACATTTACCAGTATTTAAGTTAAGGAAGTACTAGTCTTTACATTTAGTGCATATTACTTTATTTTCAGAATCACATTTTTCACATTCTTATTCACATCCTTAATTTACTGATTTTACACATTTTCTTTAATTTACTAATATGAAGTTATTGCTACATTAATTTACACATTATCCTTCTTCTAAATATTTTAAAAAACCGCATTCTAGACATTAATTCTTTGAAGGGCCAGAACATCTTAGACACTGCGTATTACATTCAACACACTATCTACTTAAATAACTAAAGTAAAGACCATTAGGACAATTACTTCTACATACTTTGTCAGGATTTTCTAATTTACCTATAGGACATTATTCAACACATCTTTAAGGATCTTCTTCTAAAGTATAATAAGGACATTTTTTTTCATCGACATTACAATCAGATCCCGACCACCCTGATTAACATCGACATTATCCAAATAAGCAAATACCTTTTCGAGAGCAGTGATTAGGACATTCAGGTGTTTAACTACAGAATTCTCTATAATTATCAGGACAATAAATATAGCCAAATTATGGTTATCCTTCCATAACATCAATTTCTTTTCCTTAATATTATTTTGTACAGATTAATTTTTTATTATTCAATTAAGTAATAGTTATTATAACTTAAGTATAATCAGGAGAACAAACAACATGATGACAACGAGTATTACTTTTGTAAGAAGTATCTAGTTCTTAATGAGCAGTAGATTTTAAGCATTTAGAGTTTGTTCCAAAATATTCCAACATTTCATCATTTTTCTTATTTGAATCATCGCAAGTAAATTGATTCGAAATTTTGTGGCAATAATCCATATATTTTGATTTTACAGATTTTCCATATCCATTATTTTAAAAAGTGCATTAATTAGAAAATGATTTTTAATATACAAACTCAGGATAAAAAGTATCAGAATAACAAGCTTTTAAAAAAAAATCACATCCTTTATTTCTTCCCCATTATATATCATTAGCCATGCTTTCATTTACTTCAGCATAATAGCCAGTATCTCTCAATAAAGCAATAGTAAAAACAGATAATTGAGATTCTTTTCCAGAAGAATAGGCAACCATTAATTCATCAAAGAGGATTGTTTTTTCCCAATGAGAACCAGTAGAATTTATAATATTTTCATCGTTCTATAATTACATTCCTTTTAAAGTAAGACATGCATAATATTTTTGAGCAGTAGCAAGTACATTTGGTGTTTATAGGATTAAAATTTATTTTTCCCTTAAAAATTATTAACTTACATAATTATCTACTTCATTACCATAATAGTTTCCAGTTGATGGATTTATCCAATATCTATATAAACCACTTGAAAATCCTAAAATATGAAAAATTTCGTGCAAAATATTGTTGAAATCTCTTTGGTATCCATAATTAGTACCATCTAAGTATATATTTTACATATTTATTTTAATTCTACCAAAGTTAACTCTTTTCAAAGTGTCATCCATTTAGCAATAAATAGCATCAGCTAAAACGGAATTTTATGGATTATTATAATTTTAGACAACCCAAATATGGATATCAGAATTTCTCTCACCATCTTTTCTGTATTTTTCATTAACATCTATATCGTAACATTTTTTATTGTTATAAATATTAGGTCCTTAAGCTGGAATTAATTTTAATAATTTTTATAAATATTCTTGAATTTAATTCATTTAACTTTTTAAGTATTTTTCAATATCTATTTAATAATTAATCTTCGTTTCATCATAATAAATATAATCCAAAGTAACTCTTAAAGGTTATGGCTAATATGATTATTTATTAATCAAATTTCTCTTTTCTGGCGTTTTTAGATTTTTTTCTTTTAATATTCTTCGATTTTATATTTGGTCATTTACTTCGAAGAAATTAAATTCAGTATCATGATTACATACATGACTATATACTCCTAATATAAATTATAAAAGTAATACTATTAATATAATTTAATATTTTAAATTTTTTTTAATTTTCATTAGATTTATTTTTAATTAATTAAAATATAAATATAAAAAATTAATTATTTTATTTATTTTTTGTATTTATTTATATTTAAGTTATTAATTTACTAAAAAAAAAAAATATTGCAAAACATATTTCACATGTATTTTCTTTAAGTATATAATTTATTACAAAAAAAAAAAAATCTAATTTTATTTTGGATCTGAAATAATTTAAAAACACTAATAAATTACCATAAAAAAAAAATTAAAATTATATTATATTTATATATAAAAGACAAATTTTTATATATAAAAAAAAAAATCATATAGTTAAATTAATTTAATGGAAATATTAATTATAAAATAATTTAGTATATATATAGTTTTATTGTTTGTTTGTATTATTTTTTATTTTTTTTTTTATTATAATATTAACTTTTTTTGCAATAAAATATTTTTGTTATTTATATTAAAGAAAATCTTTAAATTATTAAAAAATATCTTTTTTTTTTAAATATATTTTAGGAATAAATTTAATAAAAATATAAAAGCTAACTTAAAAATAATAAAATAAAAATTAATATTATTTTATTTTAAAAAAAAAATTAAATATAATATATACATATATAATTATATAAAATTTAAGGCATTTAAATGCATTATAAAATATTATTTTATTTTTAAAAAAATGAAAATTAGTTTTATGTGTAAATATTTAATTTTTTTTTAAAAGAATACTTTTATGCATATATTACATATGAAATGCTATTATCTGTTTCTATTGCCTATGTTAAGTGAGCATACTCATTCTAAATCTGAAATTCAGCATATTAAGGCTTAGTTAATACTAAAGTGGAGGTGTGTGCCGCTTTAGAAGTTGTTATAGTAATTAATAGTTTTTTTTAATTTATATAATAAAATTATTATTATTAATATATTTTTTATTAAAAGAAAATATATATATATATATATATAAAGGGCTGTAAACAATTGGAGTATTTCCCTAGTAGTTTCACCTTAGTGCCAACCAAGATTAAATGCGCTTAACTTTGGGATTTAAATATGAAACGGTATATTCACCTTTGTATACCAATAACAAATATACTGTATTTTTTTTGCTATTTATATTTGCATATTTATAGAAATATGATGGAAACGTAATTTATACTATGGATATTTATATAAATTTTGGTAAATTAATATTTATAATAATCCAATTATTTAGTATAAATTATTACTAATTTTATCTTTATTAGATGGAATTATATAATATATAAATTAAAATTTATTTAAATTATAAATAATTCATATATAAAAAAAGTAAAAATTTAAATAATGTTATTTCAAAATGAACAAAATATCTATGGATAGGCCATTTAAATTGATTGAATGTTATATGAAATCGTAGAATATATATTTCATAGATACCTGTCAGCAATTGTGTAGCTAAAAGGATTTATCCCGATAAAATATAACTTAAAAAATTCTAATTGAAGTAGCTAAAACGATGAATAATATGACAAAGAAATAGTTAGATTCATCCATTCGTCTATCAAAGAAATAGATTATTTATGCTTTTATAGTAAGCTTGATTATGAAACTAGAAATAACTAATTTAAAGTTGTTACATGGTTGAATAAAAGATGAAATATAACAAGAAACAAAAGAATTTTATTAAATGACAATATTTTGAAGGCATTGTCTTTAGTGGATTATTTAGGAAATGTAAAAAATCTAAAAATTTGTTATTAAGAAAAACAGAGAATGACATATATAATAACTATATAAAAAAATGAAATAAAAATTTTTATAAAATAATAAAAAAAATTTAATAGCCAAAAATAAATAAATAAATATAAAATAAATTAAAATTTATAAAAACAATATAACAACCAAATTATAAGTATAACAAACCTAAGTAAAAAGAAAAAAAATTCTGTATACAAAACCAATATATAAATAATAGAATTATTAAAATGGACTTTAAAACAAAATTGAGTAAAAAAAATAATAGAATTAGAAATACATAAAATATATAGATAATTCCTAATACAAGAGAAATCGAATCAAAACATGCTATCTCTATACTAATATAATGGCAAAAAATTTAAATGGCAATTTGAAATATTAAGGAATAATAATAAAAAAATTAATAATTCTATTATTTATACTACCCTAATAAAAATGTCAGAATTACCTTCCTCATTATCTGTTTTTTTTAATTAATGAAAATTTATATTTTCAAATTCATCACTATTATATGTATTAGGCCCTAAAGCAGATATTACTTTCAACAGTTGTAACAAATAAACCTATATGTTTTATTATATTTTTTAAAGATCAGTTATTTTATCAATTATTTAGTTAAATAAAATATAATCCATAATAAATCTTATAAGCTACGCTTAATAAGGCAAGTTAATCTGCAAATTTCTAGTTTCTGGGTGGGTTTTATAGAACTTCTTCTTATAAGATTCTTTGTTTTATTCTATTTGGTCATTCACTTCTGAGAAATCAAGTTTAGTATAATAATTACCTACATGATTATATACGCCTATTATAATTTATGAAAGTAACACTATATTTAAATTAAATTTTTATTTTTAATATTTTTTTTAATTTTTTTTTCTTTATCTTATAGTATTTATTATATATATGTATATGGTATATCAAAAAATTAAATATTTTATGTTTTTATTTATAGATATTTAATCGCAATAAATAACAAATTTTATTTTTAATATTAATAAATTTCTATAATTTTTTTTTTTTTTATATATATTTTATTACATTATATAATTATTATATATTTTATTACTTTATAAAATTATTATATAATATAAATGAAATTATTATAGCATATTAAAAAAATTTAAAAAATATTATTAAGAGTGTAATTACTTATAAAAAATTATTGCATTTTATTAACTTCATACTATAAAAAAATAATTTAATTTTTAAGAAGTAATAGAAAAACAAAAGAGCTTATTTATTTCATTTATTAAAAAACATTTTATCTTTATTACTATTATAAAACCAAAATAGATCTTTATTTATGGTTAATTCTTATAAAAATAATAATATTATAAAAACAAAAACTAAAATAACGAATACAAGAGAAAAAATATATTTTAAAATAATTGTAAATATAATTATATTTTATCTTTTCTTTTTAATAATAATAACTTATTGCTTTTATAATAGTCAAATAAAAAAAAAAAAATATTATTTATATGAATTAATTAAATATAGATTATTTAAATAATTTTTTTTATTTATTTAAAATGTTTCTTTTTTTATAAATAAAAAAAATCTCTATATATAAATAGCAAACAGAATATTATTCTTTTGTTGTCGGCCATACTAAGGTGAACACACCGGATCCCATTCGAACTCCGAAGTTAAGCGCCTTAAGGCTCGGTTAGTACTAAGGTGGGGGACCGCTTGGGAAGTCCGAGTGTCGACAGCCCTAAATATACTTTTTTTTTAATCTTAAAAATACAATTATTATTAAAATTTATTTTTTATCAAAAAAAAAAAAGAATGTAAAGGACAGTTGTTATTCCGATTTCCCAAATGACTCGCATCTTAGTACTAACTGAGCCTTAAGACGCTTAACTTAACAGATTATGTTTTATTACTATTATATTTATATATATTTATAAATATAATATAAAAAAATTAATATCTTATATATATTTATAACTTATAAAAAATTGTTAAAAGGTAAAAACAACAAAAAAGATGAATTTTTTTTTTTCTAAGAATAATTATAAACACAATTTCTATTAATTAATTTAAGGAATTATTATCGTATGCATAGTAAATTTCCCTATATTCATGCTTCGCAATAATTAAAATCAAATATTATACTTGTTCCTTATTCTTATTCTAAACATTTCGAAATAATGATATTCTAAACAGTCTTTTTTGGAAAGACTTGAAAATAATATAAGACAAAGCACATGTTCTTTTTAATTTTTTTAATAAAATTATTTATAATAAATTTTCCTAAAAGTCATTATTAAGCATATTATTTGGGATTGTATCTTAAAATAATATAAGAACAATTTTATATTTAAAAGCATAATAAGGCCTAGTTCATAATATCCTAAAATACCATTTTAAGAAGAATACTTAGGTTATCCAGGAATAAATCTACGATATTTTTCTGAAGTTATCAGGGCATAGATTATTCTAAACAAATTAAAGTTATTGTTATATAATATTCTTATTATTAATCGCTATAATATTTTTATTTTTGAAAAATCAGCCTATTATACTGAATTAGTTAAAAATAATTGAATAAACTTCAAATTCAATAATTATTTTAATAATTTAAGTATTTTATGTCTTTTAACACGAATTTCTCTCCTATATTTGTTTATGTTTTTCAAGAATTTTTACATTACAATGCCTTTAATCTTAGTGTTTATGCGTCAAATTACTTTTAGTAATTTTACAAAACATATATTTATATTTTGCATTATTTTTGTAAAGTATTATCTTTATTTATCAGTAAATAGTCTTCTATATAAATAAATAATTATTCATAGTAATTTAAAAGGCCTGGCTTGATGAAGATTATTGATTTATAAAAGTCTTTTATTAAATTCTTATATTCCATAAATTTAATTTTTAATTTTATTTAATTGATTAATTTTAAAAAATAAAATAAATTACAACATATAATTTAAAATAAAAAAAAGTATGCCATGATTATATAGTTCTTTATAAATTAAATTAATAAAAAACATATTTTTTATATCATTTTATTTTATTATTATATTTTATTTTTTTAAACTTTATATAAATTTTGTTTTTTTTTAAATGGTTTTATATTGTTTATATTAAATAAAATAAATTGCAATCTTAAATAACTTTAATAATATTATGTATCTTTTATTTTTTATAAAATCAATTATTAACTTAAAAAATAAATAAAAATAGTATAATTAATTAATGTTTGTTAAATAATATTAATAACCTAATAATGATAATTTTTTTTATTAATCAATTAAATTAAAAAATAATAAATTTAATAAAATGAAATTCATATATTTATTCTTTATATAAAACAAAAATCAAATTAAAAATGATAAAATTTAAAAAATATTTAGATAAATCATAATAATATGTTTTAAATAATTAAAAAATAAACATATATATATTAAAATTAAAATATATATTTTTATATAATAATATTGTAAAAATAAAAATAAGATTAAAAATGAAAATAAAAAAGTCAGATTTAATTAAAATAAAAAATATATTTTTAATAAAAATGTAAAAAAAATATATTTAAAATAATTTAATTAAAAAGTTTTTAATATTATTTTATATAAATTAAAAAAATTATATATAAAATATAAAAAAAAGTAAATAAAAAATATTAAAATAATAATAAATAAAAATATATTAAATTAAATTAAATTAAAATAATTTAAATTAAATAAAAATATAATTAATAAATATAAAAATAAAAAAATATAAAGATAAAATAATGAATTACTTTAAATTAATTAATATTATTAAATATTAAAAAAAATAAAAAAATATTTAGTAGTAATTAAATAAAAAAAAAAATATTAAATATTTTTATTTTTATAGAATATATATATTAGAAATAAAGAAATAAGTGAATATTTAAAATAAAAATATTTTTTTGAATAAAAAATATATATATAAAAAAAAAAATATATATTAATAGAAGAAAATTTATAAATAATATATATAAATTTAAAATATGTATATAAATAATATTAAATAATATATATATATATATATATATATATATAATTATATATATATTATTATTATATTATAATCATGAACGTTCTTCCGTAAACAAACTAAATCATACAAAATAATATACATTTATATGAAAATATAAATTATCATTATTTATATTCTATTATTTATTCTATTAATTCTTTATTATTATTAATTGTATTTTAAAAAATTTTATTTCTTTTTTGAATATTTTATTCATCATTATCATCTTCTAATTTATGTTATTTTTTAATATGTTTTTAATTTAACATTTTGTTTTAGTGTATTTTGCATTTATCTTTCTTTGTGTAGCATAGTATATTATTTAGTTTTATTATATTCCAGTTTTTTTTATTTTCATGATGGTAATAGAATTTTTAATGGTTTTTTTTAGTTTTCTTTATGAGTTTTATTTTATATTCTTTATTTTAGTTATTTTCATATGCCATTATTTTTATATCTAATATTTGTTGTCTTTATTTACATATTGTATTTAAGTAAAATTTATCTAAAAAAGGCTGTAGAATAAATGATGGAGTATGTTTATTAAATTCCATGCTGCTTTTAAATGTTTTAAATATAATATTTTTCCATTTAGTCTAATATGATTTTTTAATAAAGGAGAATAATATTATACCATATGAAATTTAGTTGAATATTATCAGGTTCCATAAATGAAATTTGTTTTTAAAATTTATTGACTCTTAGTTGATTTGGTTTAATCGAATGGTTGCAAATTGTGTATTTTGTTTTAAATATTTTATGTTAGATTTGAGACTTAAATTCGAATCTATTATAATTCCTAAGTATTAATATTCTGATTTAATAGGAAAATTTTTGAAGTTTTTTCCAATAAAGTTTTTGAATTTTCTTCTA